AGCAGCTTTTCGGTTTCGCACCTTCATATGTTGCTGTGATGTGAAAAGTGAGAATGCAAATGACAGTGATCTTGCTCACCGAGTAATGTGAGTTACTCGAGGTGCCTCAAAAGCAACTCTAAATTTGCTCATGATTAGGAGCTGTCGTACCCTTTGGACAAGATCGATTTTTTCGATCTTTTCGTGGACAAAGAATCAATCCGAAAAATCCGATGCAAAATTCAGCTCAATCAAGCGTTCTTTTAATCGAGTAACGAACTTTTCAGTCTCGGAGCACTTAATTTTACAGTACATGTTTGTTTACATCTCATCATTTACGTCAAAGATGAATTCCGTCACGTGTAAAATTAGGTATTTCTAAGTGTGTAGCACAAAGTCCAAAATCGTCGTCTTCAAATGAGTTCTCTGGTTTCGTAAAACAAAACAAAATCAAGAGTTGTCAAAATACCGGGTTACCAAACAATTCATTATTCACAAGCAAACAAAAGTCAGTTCAATTACTTCTGCGGCACTGCCGTGCAGGCTTCCGGAAATCTCACGCGTACACAAATGCGACAGCGAGCTGTGAGATGGAGCGTCGCATCTCAAATCCATGGTGTGCTACAATAATTGTACAAAAGAGAGACCAGAACGATGCGCGCGACAAGCTACAAGCTCTCAACAAATTCAAGCGTTTCGATTTTTTTTGTCTCATCGCATTGCTCTCTCAATGCGACGCATGTATTCAATCACATGCGACTGTTTCATAGAAACATCTCAATGCGCTCTCTCAGGGCGCCATCGCCGTGCGCTGTTTCGCATGCCTTGACTCTCGCGGTCCCATCGTATGTGATGTTGTCGGGTGACGAGAGAAGAGACTGCAAGGGTTTGTTCACAGAAGACTTGTGTGCCCTTTTCACATACGTGGCTTTTGAAATGGGGTGAAGTTTTTAGGTGGTTACAGAAATATCTTCTAGTATAGATTCAAGACTCTACACATGGTTCCAGAGATATACTGGAATCACCGTAAGATCACCACTCATGCTCCTAGGAAGACGCAATTGCTTGTCGAAAGGATGCTAAATGAAGGTAAAGGAAGACTACGTGAGCGGTGGATGGCAACCTTACGGTAGTTGGGATACCGTTAGCATGTTAGCACCCCAAATAATACCGGAATATCTCTAGAACTATGTGTCCTTCAACAAGTCCTTCTAAAGTCCAACAAATCTTCAAAAATACATTTTTTGGAACCCTTTGAAGCTTTCAGTCCATTTGGTGGAAAAATAAACAAGTTATTGCGCATTGGCACCGAATTAGACTGCCGCGCTAAAACAAATCCCTCAGAATACTTTTCCTCAGACCAGTAAAAATATAAATGGACGATTTTGAATGTAAAACAGCACTATATTTTACTTTACAAGATCAAATGGTAGGCGTTTAGTCAAAAGGGACTAAGTAGCAAAATAAAAACAAAAAATGAGTTAATGATATCATAAGATCAAGAATTCCCTCAGTTCACTGTTTCAGCCAGATTTGAAAAATTAGAGTAGCAAGAGAAAACGGTCAAAGGATTAGTCCCATAACATAAGACACAATATTGAACAGCCAACTTTAAATTCGTTTTTCTCGAAATCAAAAAAAAAATGTTACAGTTCGCAACACGCTAGTAATGATAGAACTCTGAAGATTAATATTTGCATTTTGTCTGGCTTGAGTGAACACTATTTTAAGGGATTATTTTCAACGCAAAAGGGGACATTGCTGCAAAAACATTGGTGGTGATTTCTCATAACATACACACAAGTCTACACTTAAAAATTAACCAAGTTTAACATGTTGTAAATTTGTTCTGTTATGATCAATTGAGCTGAAATTTTGACTAAAAACTTGCTTTTCCATTGACCTTTGTCCAATCAGCTATGTACAAATTTTAATTTTAATGTCACCTTCCAGCAGGTGCTTCAAAAAAATTGGTATTTCTTACACGTGAAATTCAACATATTTGTAGTTTTGGGTCAAAATTTCAGCTCAATTGATCGTAACAGAACACATTTACAACATGTTAAACTTGGCTAATTTGTATGAAAACGACCTTTGTCCGATCAATTTTGCACCACAGTGTACGTACACACTTAGAAATACCTAATTTTACACGTGACGGAATCCATCTTTGACATAAAGGATGAGACGTAAACAAACATGTCATGTAAAATTAAGTGCTCCGAGACTGAAAAGTTCGATACTCGACGAAAAGTACGTTTGATTGAACTGAGTTTTGCGTCTTTTACGACTCAATTTTATGTCAAAAATGACGCTCGTATATGTCAGTCTCAGAGCACCTAAATTTACATGATTTTTTTTAAGTGTGTAGGTACGAAATGCTGTATTAAGGTTAATGTAATAAATTTAAGAAAAAGTTGTGTCATATCTGTATTACGGATTGTTACTAAGCTTCTTGCTTCAGGAATTGTATTGAATACCTGTCAATCAACAAAACTTATTACGGCAGCATCTGAATTCTTCAGATGTGTTAGAGCTCACAGGATAGTTCATACCAGCCACCATGATGCTGAACTGAAGCAATCAATTTGCGACAACAGATTTCCAAAAAGTCCTAATGTTAGTACCGTGGACCCTCGGTGACATTGAAAAAAAGCATATTAACGAGCAAATAAACCACAACTTGATTGTACATTTCGCTTACCAAAGCCACATCTATTCCTTCGTTCGTTATGATTGGGCTATTTTTCAAGTTAATCCTTTAGTCAACGAAAATTGCCGCTAGAAAAACTTTGTTGGTCATAGCCATCTGACACCTCTTCTCCATGTTCGATAAGAGTGTAGTAGCTAGGTCGCTTTCCATCGTTTTCAAAACAAATCAACACTTTTCCCACATCAAGAACACGAGTTGGTCTTCCAGTTGAGTTTGTTATTTCGTGTCGTATTGAGACGTCGCTTAGCTACGTCTCATTGAGAAAAGCGCATGAGCTTCGCCTCACGCGACGTCGCATGATGCTCGTTCTCATGAAACGCATACATCCGGAAATACGCTGTGCTTACAAAACAGTGCGACTCACAGACATTATGAGAATGTGAGATGCGACAAAACTGAAGAGAGAGTAGCAGAGTGCTACAAATCTCTTGCGCATGAGACTACTATGACTATGAGACTATTCGTGTTGCGTCTCGCATACGGAAGCGCGCGCACTGGAAGCCTGCTACCGTGCCAGCTGCGGCACACTGAGGTACACTGAGGAAAAAGTTGGCGCAAAATAAGTGTGTAGAGTGACCACCCCTTGATTTGATTCTCAAAATCATCCCCACCAAGATGAAGACCAATCTCGATTACTTTTTCGAAGGGACGTATCAGATTTTGTAAGCAATGCATTTGTTAGTCGATTTGGCGTAGCTTGTAGCTCGCCCACGCATGCTAACTAGATAGTGCTGTTAGTATGCGTGGGAGAGTTATCAGTTACGCCAAATTGACGATCAAATGCATTTTTTACAAAAGCTGATACGTCCCTTTGAAAAAGTAATCGAGAAATAGGGTTAACTATCCCATTTCCGGCCTATTAAGCACAACCCGCACTTATTCTTTCTTAATCTAGTGCAGTTTAGCACCAAACGGAATGATACTATTTTTGATGACTTCCAAATTTATTTACCCTTCCGTACGTACCGTAAGATTTGATAAAGAGAAACCACTCGTTGAGATATTGTCAAAAGTCTAACACTGCTTCTTGACGCGAAACTCGGCCTACGGATCCTAAACTCAGCCTAACGAATTGAAACGCCATTGAAATGCCAATAAATTCACTTCGGCCTATCGGATGAAGATAGAAATTGATTCGGTCGGAGCGCTTCTTTTGTTTTTGGGAATAATGGGAGCAGACCTTCATATCACGCGTTCTCATTGACTTCGTTCGTTAACTTATTAACTAAAGTATCGTACCAAACGCATAATTGACTCTACCCTATTAATATTGACAATAATGAACATCCAGCCACGAATGAAGAAAAACAAATGTTGTCTTCAATACTCAGCGGTTGCCTTGATCAAGAGAATGCTTTTATGTCAAAATTCTAATTCGTGAAGGTAGTTGGTCTATATTTCAAGGTTGTCTTCATTTTCAGCTAAGTTGAGTGTAGATGAAATGATTTTTATCACCACTGCTAGATGATCAAATCACGATGGGGGTGAGTAGTTGAATCTGTATCTGATTCGATGATGATAGCGGATTACCAGTACGTTGCTGATATCTGATAAGCAGAAAAGGAACAATTAGACAGAGAGAGAAAAACAAAACGTTCCATATGACCTCGAGCCAAACATAATGTACTTACTGCTGGGAATGCTCTTAATTACATATGTATCCTCAGACGACATACGATTTTTAGTGTAGTAATTAAATTGAGCCACTGACTTATGCTAAGAGACGAATACGTTGAAACGATAAATTCCAATCATAAAAAATCACCCACACAAAGCTACCGGTGAGACTGGGCGAAAATCTATGCAGAGCATTGTCAATACTGCATTCGCTCAAGCTGGCTTCCATTCCATCACCATGCCATTCCCAAACCCTATAAAACCCCTTCAAATCGTTGCATTAATATTTAGGACCCAATCGCCGCCAATTGTGAATGAATGATTTGACTGCAGCCTCACGTGAGACTCAATCCCGAACAAAGAAACCCACAAAAGGACAATCGTAAAAACACAACCAAGAAGGACACACGGTCCCATAAAAATCTCATACTTCGAACGATCGAATAAAACCGAATGGACCGTTATAGGAAAAATGGCACCACAAATATGAGCACCCATTACTGGTTTGTGTGCTTTTCGCATTTTCTCATCGAATCTTAGAACACAAGCAGCGTCTGTCTGACTGTGTCAGCTGGTCTTTTCTTCAGTAGGTAGCTGTAATTTTGGTGATCTCATCCGACAGCCGACGATGATGACTGTAGAAAGTGTCGCACTTGACCATTGCAGGGTAATAGGGTTACTTTATACTTACAAACATATTTTCCAACGAACGCTTAGCGAGCCAGCAGTTGAGAAAAACCGGTATGAACAAGTTCCTGAACGGAGGCCATAAAATCTGTCGGTTGTCGTCGATGTCGATGCAGCAGCCAGAATGAGGAAGAAAAGAGAAAACTCTTCATTAATTCGTAATTCATAATTGAACAATCAACAGCGTGCCACAAAGGCCCGAAAGCCGTCCATCGTAGACGAGTTCCCAGTCATTGTTTTCGTTGGTGACTGAACGACTGGCAGATGACGATGATGGTCTGGGGCTCGGAATAGGAGTCAAATAGCAGCGAATAATCTTGGGCTGAGGGAATTTACGAGGCCAAGTCATGCTGCTCTTTGTGTTTGTGCTGAGGACTTTCTCCACGCCGGACGCTCTTGGATTTTATTTGGAAAGGGATTTCCGATTTGGTGCCATGGTGGGACGGAATGTCACTTTGTTTGTTCATGAATATAAACATTCGCACCGGCGACAAACGACCAAACGACGTCGTTTTTCGGCGCTCTAGACGGGACTCGAGATCGGAAGAGGAGAGGAAGGGGGAGGGATTAAATGGACGGACAAAGAACTCCAACAGAGACAAGAATGAAAGTCAGATGCTTACCGTAATTGTAAATGGTATTGTTGTAACAAGTTCCAAAATAAAATGAAATGATAAAATTTGCTGCCATATATTGCCCTGGAACGAGAAAGAAGTGAAAACGAGCTTTAGGAATGTGGTTTTTTTTTTTCTATTATGGAAGCGCTGGATGAAACTGAATAGTTAAATGGAATTTTGGTGTTCAAAATGATTTTAGTTAGCTTGTGTATGGGAGATTAAATGGCTTACAACGCGTTTGCTGAAAGGTATTTCAAGTTTGTACAACTAATGCCTTTTTAAATATGTCAAGGACACGTTTTCTAAGACAACTCCGAAGAGCTCCGTACACTATTTTTTTTTCCTTGATTTGTTTTCCGTCGATCTTGTTTTCCGTGCTGAGCACCAATGCTACCGACGCAGCACCGAGCTCCCACACCTGGACCCTACCTATCGACCCATCAACTAATGAACCGGGGACCAACGGCTTTTCTTCCCTTCCGAAGGAAGGCATGATCAGAGATGTTATGCCTCAGAATATCCCAGCGGCGCCGATTGGCATTGAATCCAGGCCTGCTGGGGTGAGAGGTAATCACGCTTACCACTACACCACCGGCGCCGCTGTTGCAGACAGTAGCATTGACCTCAATTTTGCACGAATCAGCAACTGAATCGAGTTCAATTAGTAAAGAAAGCCAAATCCAACCAGACAGCTTCAAAATTAATTAAAATGTTTTCCAACTTTCCAATAGCTGCCAGGCCTTGCCATTGTAAAGTATACACAACATTTCCATCCCATGCTGCTGGCGACTTATAATTATACGCTGCTGCTCATGTATGTATTAGGGTGGTTCAACACCAAGTTCAATCGATTCCAAATCCGGTCCTGATCATTCTCCCATAATTTGAGCTCATTTGAATGCGAACTGATACTGCACTGATCTTTTGAAGTTTATATGGAAATTACTATAGGAAAAGTGATCCTTTTGTCCTCAACGTCCTAGCCCTTCGTCATAATAATTTACGGGTAAGTTTGCTCTTATATAAAATTTTATAAACTACAACTTTGCTCAAGACCACTTTCTTGTTACACTTCAAGGTAATTAGTTATTAATTGATTTCGAAGCCAATAACTTTCTGAAATGATTAATCAACTGCTTTATGGGCACCACTGCATGTTGTTGTTATAAGATAGTAGGCTGGATTTTTGACTGTTCTTCGCGCCAAATACACCAATGTTGCCAGCTGAGCAGTTGATGGAGCATGCCAGAAGAACATCATCTTCCTAATCAATAACAAATGTGGTCAACAGCAAAGTTGTTGCTGGGAAAATTTCACATTCTTACGGATAGCAATCTTTTCCGTATAACATTACGGTAAAAAGCTAGAACGATGCAAACAAAACGTACACTTTTCCCATAGTAATTGCCATATAAACTTCAAAAGTCCAGTGCAGTATCAGTGTTGGGTCCTGGTCCCGGACTCATGACCGTGATATCTTTTACTAACCACGACACGTCACGTTTGAAGGTTGAAATGTAATTAATTTATTCTGTTTCCTATTTTTCATATAGAGTCTAAGTTGGAGACACTTGATGCACCGAGTATATAATGCTATTTACTCGGACACTGATGGTGATCAGTGTCCATGCTAAAAAGGGAAAGGAATAGTATCCGAAATCCATGACTGTACACATGGTAACAGCCACTGGCGTGCACAGGGTGGGCAAGGTGGGGCAATTGCCCCCTCTTTTATAAATAAGATTTTTATTTTCACATTTACAAAATTAGAATATAAAATAACTTGCTTTCTTGATAACTTGATACTTGATACTTGAAAATAACTTCATTTCATAATACAAGGGCACTGAAAACCTTTTATTGCGTCAATTCCTTTGAGATGGTCCCTGAAAATTGCACCACAAAGGTGCATGAGGGGACAAACTTCAATGAAATTCAATGGTATTTTTTTTTCAGGGTTGTTCATGGAGGGTTAAAAGAAGAGGGTAAATTTAAGGTTGACAAAATTTACCTTTGTGGTGGTAAATCGAAGAAAAAGCTGTTTATTGATTTTTTCTTGTGTAAAATTATCAACAAGGTGGAGGGACAAATTAAACTTAATAACTCTGGTGGAAAAATTGAATCACGCTAAAAATTTGGAGGTGCACATTTAATTTTAAATTTCTGGTGGAAAGCTCGCAACACTGTGGTGAATGTATAAGCAAGGTTTATTCATTTTTCTGGTGCATAATTTGCATCGTTCTGATGAATGCAAGCTTCATTAAAAATTTATGGTGGAAAATCTTCACCATTCTGGTGCATGCTTGAATTGCCACCAGAAAATTGCACCACAAAGGTGCATAGTGAAACAAACTTCACTGACAATTTTTGGTGCACCGTTCTGGTGAATGGAGGACCATGCTTTATTGAAAAATTTTCATTGCTCTGATAAATGAAATGAACAGAAAATTTCTGGTGGAAAAATTCCACTGGTCTGGTAAATGAAGGTATAAGCTTTATTTAAATTAAGCTATATTGAAAATTTCTGGTGGAAAATCTGCACCGTTCTGGTGAACGGATGGGCAAGCTTATCGGAAAAATTTTGGTCTTAAATTTGCATCCTTCTGCTGAATAGAGAAACAAATTTAATAATGATTTCTGGTGTAAAATTTGCACCATTCTGATGGTTGGTGGGAAACTGCTTTACTGAAAATTTATGATGAAAAATCCGAAAATATGGGCAAGCTTTATTTGGTGGAAAACTTGCAACATTCTGATGACAGGAGAAGCCAGTTATATTGAAAATCTCTGGTAATAAATGAAAAATCGGCACGAATCAGAAGATTGGAGAAGCAATTTTTATTGAACATGGACGGTGGAAAATTTACACCATTCTGATCAGTTGAAATTTTCTGGTTTAAAATTACCGTTTAAATTTAATAATTGAAAATTTCTGGTGTTAGATTTGCAACAATCTGCTGCATGGAAGGGCAAGCTAAATTGAAAATTCCTGATGTATGCACAGTGCTGGTGAATGTAAGGGCAAGCTATATTGAACATTTCTGGTTGAAAAAAAATACAACGTTTTGGTGAATGGACGGACAACTTTAACTTTACTTCGGAGAAGAACCTCAAGGGTATTGAATTCTGAGGACTATTCCAAAAGAAAAGATTTCTGGGGATGATTCCATGATTATTCTGCGAATAATTTCTAGTTAATCCTGCAGATAGTTCCAAGGTAATTTCGAAAAGAATACCGATATAATCAAATTTTGAAGTAAATGCCAAAGGGATGTTGAGGAAAATTTCAAGGGAATTCCGAGGATAATTTCAAGCTCATTCTCGGAAGAATTTCTGGAGAATACAGAGGAAATTCTTCTGAAACATTAGGGAAATTTCAGTTCAAAGGTGTTCTGAGAAAAAAAAAAGTTCTAAGATATTCCGAGAAGAACCTCTACGATATTGAATTCTTAAGAGAGTTCCAAAATATTTCTGGGGAGAATTCAATGCAGATAGTTCCAAGATAATTTCGAAAATAATACCGAGAAAATCAAATTTAGAGTGAAATTCCAAAGGGATTTCAAGCAAAATTTCAAACAAATTCCGATGATAATTTCTAGCTCATTCCGGAAAAAAATTTCTGACACTCAAGGAATTTCAGTTCTAAAGTGTTCTAAGAAAAAAAAAATCTTGAAGATTTCTAAGTATAGTTTCAGTGGACTTCTGAAATGAATTTCAAAAGAAGACTTAGGAGAGTTCTAAAGAATCCGAAAAGAACCTCAAGGATATTGAATTCTGAGGACAGTTCCAAAGGATTTCTGGGGAGTATTGCAAAATTCTGCAAATAATTTCTAGTGAATCCTGCAGATAGTTTCAAGATAATTTCGAAAAGAATTCCAAGAAAATCAAATTTTAAATGAAATTCCAAAAGGATTTTAGGAAAAATTTCAAGCGAATTCCGAGGATAATTTCAAGCTCATTCCGGGAAAAATTCTGAAACTCTAAAGGCATTTCAGTTTCAAGGTGTTCCGAGAAAAAATCATGAAGAGTTCTAAGTATAATTTCAGTGGACTTCTGAAATGAATTTCAAAAGAGCTCTTAGGAGAGTTCTAAAGACATCCGAGAAGAACCTCAAGGATATTGAATACTGAGGACAGTTCCAAAGAATTTCTGGGGAGTTTTCAAAGAAAATTCTGTGGATAATTTCTAGTGCATCCTGCAGATAGTTCCAAGATAATTTCGAAAAGAATACCGAGAAAATCAAATTTAAAGTGAAATTCCAAAGGGATTTCAAGTAAAATTTCAAACGAATTCCGAGGATAATTTCTAGTTTATTCCGGAAAAAAATTCTGAAACTCTAAAGGAATTTCAGTTCCAAAGTGTTCTGAGAAAAAAAAAAATCATGAAGAGTTCTAAGTATAATTTCAGTGGACTTCTGAAATGAATTTCAAAAGAAGACTTAGGAGAGTTCTAAAGAATCCGAAAAGAACCTCAAGGATATTGAATTCTGAGGACAGTTCCAAAGGATTTCTGGGGAGTATTGCAAAATTCTGCAAATAATTTCTAGTAAATCCTGCAGATAGTTTCAAGATAATTTCGAAAAGAATTCCGAGAAAATCAGATTTTAAGTGAAATTCCAAAAGGATCTTAAGAAAAATTTCAAGCGAATTCCGAGGATAATTTCAAGATCATTCCGGGAAAAATTCTGAAACTCAAAAAGAATTTCAGTTCCAAGGTGTTGCGAGAAAAAATCATGAAGAGTTCTAAGTAAAATTTCAGTGGACTTCTGAAATGAATTTCAAACGAGCTCTTAGGAGAGTTCTAAAGAATTCGAAAAGAACCTCAAGGATATTGAATTCTGAGGACAGTTCCAAAGAACTTCTGGGAAGTATTCCAAGAAAATTCTGCGAATAATTTCTAGTGAATCCTGCAGATAGTTCCAAGATAATTCCGAAAAGAATACCGAGAAAATAAAATTTTAAGTGAAATTCCAAAGGGATTTTAAGCAAAATTTCAAGCGAATTCCGAGGATAATTTCTAGCTCATTCCGGGAAAAATTTCTGAAACTCTAAAAGAATTTCAGTTCCAAGGTGTTCTGAGAAAAAAAAATCATGAAGAGTTCTGAGTATAATTCCAGTGGACTTCTGAAATGAATTTCAAAAGAGCTCTTAGGAGAGCTTAAAAAAAATCCAAGAAGAACCTCAAGGACAGTTCCAAAGGATATCTGGGGAGTATTCCCTCAAGGAAATCTGAAGATGGACTTTTTTGCAGCTGTATAAAATTTAAAGACAGTTATTAGTTTGCCATTGAACCTTGGTCTATTGTTGTCTTTTTAAGAATTCGTCTAAGAATCTTCTCTGAAAATTTCAAGTCATTTGTTACCGTGGTTAAAAAGTTACAGCTGTTTATGTGCGTTGCAATAAATTCGGGATTGTCCTTTGTATCATCTTTAAAACATGTTGAATATTTGGCATCATTTCGTGTCACCCCGACTGGCGGTACTTTGGGACAGGGTTTACATGCTCAATCCTTCGCACAAGTCGTAATTCCGTTACCAATCCTGTACTCGCTTGTCAAAATAGTTTTTTGTGCTTTTGTTCCAATTGTTACATATTTTTTAAACCTTTTAAATGATCCTTTTAGCCTTGGAATTTAGGTCAAAATTTGAAAAAAATAGAACTAAAATTTTCGCTGAAAATGACCAAGTTCAACGTACTCGCAACGGTAATAGTAAAGTGTAACTACAACAGCATATAAGGGCTTATAAAACCTTGAAACAGTCAAAAATAACTGTAATGATGTCTTCAAAATACACAAAAATGTACTACACAAAATTTCAGAAAGGTAACTGAATAAAAGATGATGCCAGTACCTTGAAGAATATGTTTTCTTTGGTTCATATTTTTAACCTGTAAAGAAGAGCATGACGCAAAACATTATTACAACGATTCCTACAGGGTTCAGAAATTGGAAGAAAGTTACCGAGTTGATGGGAAATCGCAGTGATACCCATGTTGGAAGTATGGAAGCGTGGAAAAATTTCAAAACCAGGAAGGGTAACGACGAAGAACTAGACCACCAAAAAACAGCCAGTACAAAATTAGCCGTATTCAAAATGACATGATTACTTTGTTGGACAATGTAGTGTTGCAGAACATTGCGAAAACCTTGCGAGGAACACCAGTGGCAATAATTGTAGATGAGACGAGCGATTGTGGCCACCACGAGCAGTTGGTGATTGTCATTAGGTATATTGATAATGATGGGATTAAATTGTCAATTCCATTGACTGTCTGAAAGCAGTTTGCATTGAAGAAGATGAACCACCACCGGAGCAAAAAATAAACAAAATTAGCTAAATTGAACAGTAGAGAAACAGTGGTGGATGAACAGTACCCCTCATCCCCAGATTAAATGCACCATAGAAAAAAAATTGCCCCTCCATAACAAGATTCCTGTGCACGCTAGTGGTAACAGCATGTATCAAGAGTTTGTCATACGACACCTTTATTTGTCGTCATAAATGCTGAGTAGGTTTGAACAAGCATTGAACTGAAGGTTCAATGCTGGGTGTGATTTAGCTACGCAGCATATTCTCACAAGTGTGGTCTGCTAAAAGTGCATGATAGAAAAATAGCAATGACATGTGGTACGCACATGTCACAATCAGTTACCATCCAAACGAGCTTAAATTTTGGGAGAATTATCAGGACTTGATTTAAATCGATTGAGCTTGGTGAAGCAGAATCAATATTTCGAACAACCCTAGTGTGTATGCATCTGTAGGTGTGTGTATGTATGTATGTATGTATGTACGTAAGTACGCCTTGTAACGTGTGAACACGCAAGCTCACCTTGTACCCGAGATAGGCAATCAGCAGCGACTCTGTGAGTGAAATGAGGGCCAGCACCAGTTGCACCGCCCACAGCTCCGTCGAGCGGTTCACCCAGAGGATCGCGTCCCAGTTGATGATCGGATTCTCCTGGAACTCCTCCTCCGTCAGTTTGGCCGAGTCCAGAAATTCCGTCTTGTTGGCAACCTTGCACCCGTAGCTGATTCGATCGAAAATACAAAAGTAAATAAAAAAAAAAAAGGTGAAAGAACGAAGCGGATAATTAATTTACTTTCGTCGAAATGAATGGGCACAGCCCATGGGAAGTCGGGACGGCGGATGGAATCGCATAAAATATTAATTCGATGGAAACCATCAGCCGAGCAGCATAAATTGATTACTCTCGCGTTTGAGCGCAGGAGGTAAACAGATGGGTCACGGTTTCCTTTCAATTTCGTGCTTCCGTTCCGTTCGCAGATGCTTTTGTGAAGCACGACGGTGATGACGACGGATGCATCACGTGGGTCAGGATTAAAAAGTTCTCGGAAAATCGAAACATCTTTGCCTCAGAAATTGATCCGGCAGAGCAAGAGGAGGTCGAGCGATGTCTTCACGTCATCAAGGCTACGACGACGAATGTCCTGAGTGTAATTGGGAAGGTCGGCTGTTGATAAAATATGCATCCAACTTGGATCAATTATTCATTCGGTTTTTTTCGGAAGGACATGATGGGTCACAGAGGCTTCAAAAGCCAGCCAAGCCACCGATGGGAAAGCATGGTTAATAATTTAAGGTTTGTATACTCTTCTGCTTACATGTCTGTTTTCAACTGCGAGAGTTTGGAGTGCTGCAGATAGCAGCTGAGTTAACTTGCAGCTATTTGGGATTTCTAATTGGGTCAAGCAGATAGTTATTTTCATGATGAAAATATACGTACGGAAGTTTCACTGAGTGAATCAGATAATCAGAAAAGCACAAAATCTAAAAATCTCAGAATCAGAAAATTGGAAAATCTGATAATCAGAAAATCAGAAATTATTTAAAGCAGAAAATCAACAATCTGAAAATCTGCAGATATAGAAATCTTATAATGAAAACAAGAATTAAAATAAGATCTGGACTGACTAAAAATCAGATAATCAGAAGATCGGAAAATCAATTTTCCTGATATTCTGATTTTCTGTATTTGTGATTTCCTGAATTTTTAATTTTATGATTCTCTGATTTTCTGAGCTTCTTTCTGTTTATCTGATTTTAAGGCTTTCAGATTATCTGGTTTAATTATTTTTCTGATTTTCTGATTTTCTGGCTTTCTGACTTTCTGATTTTTAGATTTTCTTTTTTTTTTTTCTAATTTCCTGATTTTCTATTTATTAGATTTTCTGATTTTTAGATTTTCCTATCATCTGATATCCTGATTTTCTATTTTTTTTTATTGATTTTCTTATTTTCTTTTCTATTTGTTTTCCGATCTTCAGATTTTCTGATTTGCTAATTTTGCTAAAATTATAAAATTAAAAAAAAAATTGAAAAATGAAACTGAATATAACTGTTTTAACAATAACTGAATATAACAGAAAAAAAAAAATCAGGAAATTAGAAAAACAATGAAAACAAAATAAATAAGAAAATTTTAAAATAACATTAAGATAATCTAAAAATAGGGAAATAAGAAAGTCAAATAAAAAATAAGCAGAAACGGAAATGTTTTTTTTTAAACAGATTTTTGACGTTCTGATAACCTGATTTTCTTATATTCAGATTTACTTATTTGATTTATTTTTTATTTTCTGATGTGTTGATTCTTTTCTTTCAGAGCATCAGAAAATCAAAATATTAAAAAATCTGGAAATGAGAAAATCATTAAATCCATAAATCATAAAGTCAGAAAATCGTTAAATCATAAAATCATAGTATCATAATATCATAAAATTATAAAATAATTAAATCTTAAAACCATAAAATCTTAAATCATAAAAACATAAAATCACATGATCATAAAATCACAAAATCATACAATCATAAAATAAAAAATTATAAAATTATAAATTAAAACAACTATAAAACCATAAAGTAATAAGATCAGAAAATTGAAAATAAGAAAATCTGACAATCAAATTATCAGAAAATTAGATATTCATCAGATTTTATTGTTTTCTAATTTTCTGATTGTCTCATTATAAGATTATCCAATTCTCAGGTTTTTAGAGTTCAACATCTTATTATTTTCTGATCTTTAAATTTGGATTTTCAATTTTTGAGTTTATCCGATTTTAGAATTTTCAGATTATGAGATTTTTGTTTTAGTTTTCTTAATATCTCATTTTCGATTTTCAGATTGTATACTTTTCGGATTTTTGCTAATCAGTAAACCCAAAAACAGAAAATGGGAAAGTCAGATAATCAAAATATTAAAAAAAAATCTTAAGATCATATGTTCAGAAAATTATACAAGCAAAACAATCAAAAAAATCGGAAGACTAGAAAAACAGAAAATCAGAAAATCAGAATTTCGTATAATCATTAAATCAGAAAAACAGAAAGTCAGAAAATCAGAAATTTCAGCAAATCACAAAATAATTCCGAAATAAATTCGGAAAACCTGAACATACAAATTATATAATGACAAAATGAATAAATTGAAAATCAGACAATCATAAAAACAGAAAATCGACAATCAGAAAAACAGAAAAAACTGAAAATTAAAAAATTATAAAAATCATCTAAGCAGAATATCAGAAACCAAATCAAATGATCAGAAAATCACAAAATCTCAAATTCCAGTAAAACAGAAAATCTGGAAAATGGAAAATCTTAATATCTGAATATCTGAAAATCAGAAAATCAGAAAATCAGAAAATCAGAAAATCAAAAAATCAGAAAATCAGAAAATCAGAAAATCAGAAAATCAGAAAATCAGAAAATCAGAAAATCAGAAAATCAGAAAATCAAAAAATCAGAAAATCAGAAAATCAGAAAATCAGAAAATCAGAAAATCAGAAAATCAGAAAATCAGAAAATCAGAAAATCAGAAAATCAGAAAATCAGAAAATCAGAAAATCAGAAAATCAGAAAATCAGAAAATCAGAAAATCAGAAAATCAGAAAATCAGAAAATCAGAAAATCAGAAAATCAGAAAAACAGAAAATCAGAAAATCAGAAAATAAGAAAATTAAAATTCGGAGTAATTTGAGATTTGGGCGTAATTGCATTTGTAAACAAACACGTCAATCACCGATTTCTCACGAATACAAGCTCAATCTCGAAAACTCATAGCGCTATGAGGTAGAGGAATGATTCCTCTATCATTTGGTTTAGTTTGTTTATTAAATTGAGCTTTATTTCAAGAGAAATTGGCAATTGACGTCTTTGTTTACAAAAGCAATTACGCCCAAATCTCAAATCAGTCCGGAAATACTAAAACCTGAAAATCTGACAATATGAAAATCATATAATGAGAAAATTTAAACAATGAAAATCAGAGAATCATAAAATCAGAAAATCGGAAAATGAAACCATTAGTTTTTTTTTTAATCTTTATTAAGGAGATTTTCAGCCCTGGGCTGGTTCATCTCCGGTACCAAATAGAAATCTAATAAGGGGCAGCTCATAAACTACGTAGTCAGTTAAGGGTGGGGGTGGAGTATTAAAAAAAGTTGTATGGACAATTGTCTACACAGGGGGAGGGGGGGGGGGGTCAAAATCCAAAAAAACTGTCTACGTTGTTTATGAATAGCCTCTAATCTGCGAAATAAATAATTAGAAAATCAGGACAATCAGAAATCAAATCTAATAATTAGAAAATCAGCAAATATGTTTTTCTTATTTTCTTGAATTTTGGATTCTTTGATTTTCTGTTTTTCTTTCTCAGATTTTCTGATTTTGTGGTTTTCTATTTTTCTTGGTTTCTGATATTTTGATTATCTGATTTTCTGTCGTTCAGATGTTAAGATTTTCTGGTTTTAACGTTTCAATGTTTACATTTCTTAGAAAATGAAAACCAAAAAATCCAAAATATTAAAGCCAGAAAATTTGAAAATATGAAAATCATACAATGAGAAAAATTAAAACAACGAACATCAGAGAATCAGAGAATCTTAAAATCGGAAAATCAAACACTAAGAAATTCAAATAATCAGAAAAACAGAAAATTATTAAATTAGCAAGTCAGAAAATCAGAAAATCAAAAAATCAGAAAATCAGACAATCAGAAGGCCGGAAAATCCGTTTATTTAATTTTCCTGATTTTCGGATTTGCTGGTTTTCAATTTTTTAAATTGTCTGTTATGTGAAATGCTGATTTTCAGATTTTCAGATTTTCTCTTATTCTAATTTTTTTCATTTTCAGATTAGCTGATTTTCTGACTTTCAGATATTTTGATTAGTGGAAATGGCTCTCATGTTGGCCTATGGATCTAAAATTGGGCCCATCGCTAAAAGTCTGCTATTTATTAATTTTATCTAGATGTACGCGTCATTATGACGGTACTAATGGATATTTTTGGCCGCTATTGAAAATTTAGTCGATTGCTGAATTTATGTATGGGCCCAAATTAGGGACATGTAGGCCGACATTACCTTCATTTCCCCTATCTGGTTTAAGGTTTTTCGATTTTCTGGCATTCTGATTTTCTGATTTTCTGATTTTATGGCTTTCTAACTTCCTGATTTTTTTTTATTTTCTGGATTCTATGATTTTCTGTTTTCTTTTTTTTTAATTCTCATTACAGGATTTTTGATTTTAAGATTTTCAGATTTCCAGATTTGCATGTTTTTTGGTTCAGTTATTAGTAAATTAGAAATTCAAACAATAAAAAAAAATCTTAAAATCAGATAATCAGAAAATGAGATGGATAGAAAATCGGAAAGAATTTTCTAATTATCTGATTGTAGGATTTTTTAACAAAGAAATATAAAAATAATTTTCAGAAAATTAAAAAGTAAGAAAATCAGAAAATCAGAAAATTAAACAATCGAAATTCAGGAATTCAGAAAATCAGAAAATTGAACATTGGAGAATCAGAAAATCAGAAGGCTAGACAAATATTAGATAAATTAAATATTAGATAAACATAGACAGATATTTGAACTATCAGAAAATCATTTAATCAGAAAATCAGAAAATCCAAAAAATCAGAAAATTAGAATATCAGAAAATCAGAAAATCTGATAGCGAGATATTTGAAAATCAGAAAATAAGAAAATAAGACAATCGGGAAATCAGAAAATCGAAAATCAAAAAAATCTCAAGATCATAAAATCAGACAATCAAAAAACCGATATAGTTTGAAAATCAGAAAAGCAGGATATCATAAAATCATAAAATAAGAAATTTAGAAAATCATAGAGAACAGAAAATCAGATAATCAAAAGATCAGAAAATCAGAAAATTAAAAAAATCAGAAACTCTGGAAATCAGAAAATCAGATAATCAGAAAATAAGAAAATTAAAAAAAAAACAGAAAATTATAAAAATAGACAATAGACAAGAAATTCATAGAATCGAATCGGCTAATCAGAAGGTCAGATAAACAGAAAATCAGATATTCATAAAATCAGAATACCAGAAAATCGGCAAATCAAAAATATCCAAAAATATGCGAATAAGGAAATCAGGAACTTTTGGAAATGAGGTTTGATGTGATTTGATTTAAAAAACAGGAAATTAGAAAATCATATAAGAAATAGTGAGAAAATCAGAAAAAATAAAAATTCGAAAATCGGGATATCAGAAAATTAGAAAATTAGAAAATAAGGAAGTCAGGAATTCAGAAAATCAGAAAAGCAGGGAAGCAAAACATCAGAAAATCAGAAAATCTGAAAAAAATCAGAAAATTAGAACGAATCCTAAAATTAGAAAGATTAAGGGAATCAAAAAGAAGCAGAAAATCAACAAGAATAAGAAAATCAAAATAATCGGAAAATCTGAATATTACAATATCAGAAAATCAGAAAACGAGATATTTGAAAATCAGAAAAATTTTGAATCTAAAATTAAAAAAATAAGAAAATCAAACAGTCGGAAAATACGAAAATTACTTAAAAAATCAGAAAAGCAGGAAATCAAAAAATCATAAAATCACAAAATTAGAAAATATGAATATCAAAAAAATCAGAAAATCAGTATTTTTTAATACCAGAAAATCAAAAGAAGAGATGAAAAACAAAATTTTTTAATCAGAAAATCAGAAAATCAGAAAATCAGAAAATCAGAAAATCAGAAAATCAGAAAATCAGAAAATCAGAAAATAAGAAAATCAGACAATCGGAAAATCAGAAAATCAGAAAATCAGAAAATCAGAAAATCAGAAAATCAGAAAATCAGAAAATCAGAAAATCAGAAAATCAGAAAATCAGAAAATCAGAAAATCAGAAAATAAGAAAATCAGACAATCGGAAAATCAGAAAATCTGAAAATCAGAAAATCAGAAAATCAGAAAATCAGAAAATCAGAAAATCAGAAAATCAGAAAATCAGAAAATCAGAAAATCAGAAAATCAGAAAATCAGAAAATCAGAAAATCAGAAAATCAGAAAATCAGAAAATCAGAAAATCAGAAAATCAGAAAATCAGAAAATCAGAAAATCAGAAAATCAGAAAATCAGAAAATCAGAAAATCAGAAAATCAGAATTTCAGAAAATCAGGCAATTTGAAAACCAGAAAATCAAACACTCAGAAAATCATAAAATCAGGAAATCAGAAGATCAGATAAACAGAAAAAAAATATCCATAAAATCAGAATGCCAGAAAATCGGAAAATCGAAAAAAATCTGAAAACCTGCAAATCATTAAGTTTAGAAAATGAGTTTTGATATGATTTGATTTTAAAATCAGGAAATTCGAAAATCAGATAAGAAAGGATCAGAAAATCAGAAAATATAAAAATTAGAAAATCTGAAAATCAGAAAATCAGAAAACAAGGAAGTAACGAGATCAGAATATTAGAAAATCAGAAAAGCGAAACATCAGAAAATCAGAAAATTATTAGATAAAAAACTCAGAAAATCAGAAAATCAAACCTATTTAGAAAGTCTGAAAAAATCAGAGAATCAGAAAGCATCCTAAAATCAGAATAGAATAAGAAAATCAGAAAACAGCAGAAAATCAGCATGTAGAAGAAAATCCGAAAATTTGAAAACCCAAAATATATTATATTAATAATATTAGAAAAACCATTAAATCTGAAAATCTAAAATGCTGAAAATAAGAAAAACAGGAAAAAGGAAAATCAGAAAACCATGAAATCAAAAAAATCAGTTAATCAAAAATCAGGACATCACAGGTTAATGACATCATGATAAAAAATCAGAAAATCATAAAAATAGACCATCAGAAACTCAGAAAATCATAGAATCGGCTAATCAGAAGGTTAGATAAACAGAAAATCAGATATTCATAACATCAGAATACCAGAACATCGGAAAATCAAAAAATACCAAAAATCTGCAAATAAGGAAATCAGAAAGTTTAGAAAATGAGGTTTTATGTGCTTTGATTTAAAAAACAGGAAATTAGAAAATCATTTAAGAAATAGTGAGAAATCAGAAAATATAAAAATTGAAAATCGGGAAATCAGAAAATCAGAAGATTAGAAAATTAGAACACAAGGAAGTCAGGAATTTAGAAAATCAGAAAAGCAGAGAAGCAAAACATCAGAAAATCAGAAAATCTGAAAAAATCAGAAAATCAGAACGAATCCTAAAATTAGAAAGATTAAGGAAATCAGAAAGAAGCAAAAAATCAACAAGAATAAAAAAAATCAAATAAATCAAAAAATCTGATTATTACAATATCAGAAAATCAGAAAACGAGATATTTGAAAATCAGAAATTCAAAAAATAAGAAAATCGGACAATCGGAAAATCGGAAAATAAGAAAATAAAACAAAACAACAAACAAATTTTTTGAATCAGAAAATCAGAAAATAAGAAAATCAGACAATCCGAGCAGGAAATCATAAAATCATAAAATAGTGAATTTAAGAAAATCAAAAGATCGCAAATCAGCAAGAAATGAGGAAATCAGAAAGTTAGAGAATCAAAAAAATCAAAAAATCAGAAATTCTGGAAATCAGAAAATGGGAAAATCAGAAAATCAGCAAATCAAAAACTCACAAAAACATTAAATCAGGCAATTTGAAAAGCAGAAAATCAAAAACATAGAAAATCATGAAATCAGGAAATCAGCAGATTAGATAAACAGAAAAGCAAATATCCATAAAATCAGAATGCCAGAAAATCGGAAAATCAAAAAATTCAAATTAGGAAATCATTAAGTTTAGAAAATGAGTTTTGATATGATTTGATTTTAAAATCAGGAAATTTGGAAATCAGATAAGAAAGGATCAGAAAATCAGAAAATATAAAAATAAGAAAATCTGAAAATCAGAAAATCAGAAAACAAAGAAGTAAGGAGATCAGAAAATTAGAAAATCAGGATCGCGAAACATCAGAAAATCAGAAAATTATTAGAAAATCAGGAAATCAAACCTATTTAGAAAGTCTGAAAAAAAATCAGATAATCAGAAAGAATCCTAAAATCAGAATAAAATAAGGAAATAAGAAAAAAGCAGAAAATCAGCAAGTAGAAGAAAATCCGAAAATTAGAAAACCCAAAATATATAATATTAATAATATTAGAAAAACCGATAAATCGGAAAATCTAAAATGCTGAAAATAAGAAAAACAGGAAAAAGGAAAATCAGAAAAACAGAAAACCAAAAAAATCAGAGAATCAGAAAATCAGAAAAACATTAAATCAAAAAATCAGTTAATCAAAAATCAGGACATCAGAGGTTAATGAAATCAGATAATCAGTAAAGCAGAAAGTCAGAAAATCAGAAAATTAGATAATCAGAAAATAAGAAAATCAGAAAATCACAAAGATTCAGAAAATCTGCAAAATTCAGAAAACGAGAAAGAATCCAAAAAGCAAAAAGATCAATAAAATAAAAAAAAAAACAGAAAATCAGCATGAATTAGAAAATCAGAATATAATAAATAGAATAAAAAAAATGGAATATTAGAAAATCCGGAAAATCGGAAAAGCCGAGAATCATAAAATCAGAAAAACGGAAAATCAAATAAATCAGTAAATAAAAAATTACGACATCAGAGAATTAAAAAATTAAGAAATCAAATAGTCAGTTCATCATAAATAAAAATTTTAAAATCATAAATTCATAAAATCCAAAAGAAGGACAAAATCAAACCATTGCAAAAAAAATCAGTTGTCGCCGCGAAAGTAATCAATCTTCTGCTCACCTCGTTACAAAACATCCAACAAAAGCCGCATCACTTACCAAGTTGCAAACGTTGGATCTAGATCCGACACTACTCGTATTATGTACAAAATGCAAGTTAGTAACTTAAACAGTAAATTAGCAATTCGTATCCTTAAACCTGTTGGTAGAAGCGTGAAAAAGAAAGGCAAAGAAGTCATCAAATGGAACCGTGTAAAAATTATGAGAATTGATGACATTTCTGAATTGCAACCCCATTCAATGTAGGAACAGCTTTAAGCTCCCAGTGGATCCCGTCCCCGTACTGTTGCTTTTGTACCAACGGGTCACGATACTCAAACGATGTTGAATGGAAAATTGAACCGAACAAGCAATCGCCTTCAAACGGCCGATTATCACGCAACGAACGTGAGGATATTTCTGACGATTCGTGGAAAAAGGGGCTTGTGGATGGGAGTCCTTTTATGTTTTCGTTTCAAACAACAACAACTGCGTTGTGTTGGTTGTTTTCCAAATTGCATTCCCGTTGGGCTCTGCATGTCACTTTGCTTGTAGCCGGTAACGTTTGAAGTCTGTAATTTCGTATGATTACTAGGTGTAAGGGGATGGCATTTGACATTGAAGTTAAGTATTGATGATGGTGACCCAAATATAAGTCAATTGTCAGTCGATTTTATAGGGGTGTAAAAATAGGAAGAGTTCTATTTTTAAATCGGAAATTGAAGGACGTTCCTAACAACTGAAAGGGGTAGTTCAGAAATGGTCATTTTCAAAAGGAGTGAACTAGAAGCATACTTACTTGATCTTTGATTCTTTATAAAATATAGTTGCAGTCTTTCTTTGAATGTATTTTCATTTACATAATATTCTACCCGTACTCTGGAAAGAGAAAGAAAGGACGAGTTCCAAAATTAGTCATCAATCAGCTTTTACGTGATCAAAAAGGGTTCTTTAATGGTTTTAAGGTGGTTTTATCGCGCATTCGCCTAGATTTAGGTAAATTTCAAGCAAATAAAAACGGATTCTTTTCAAAGGGGGCACAAAGAAGGAAGCTCGGCTAAAGCAAATCCCTATCCCATTCCGTTCCAGAGAATGTGGGTTAAGTGAGATCGGAAGTGGATTTGTACATGCTATCCGGTTGCACCATGGCGATGCAGTCTTGCTAAGGGAAGTGGCGCATTTTTATTCTCGTTTTCTCAATTCCAACCAGTAGCGGCAGCGCGGTGGGATTATGTAAATGTTGCACTTCATTTTCCATTGTGCTCGTTTTGTATTTGTATTGTTGGAACCGTATCGTTTCATTCGACTGAAGTAAACTGATTAACCGGAGAGTTTTACGCCGGTCGGTAGCAGCCTTTTCAATATTCATCAACTCGAACGGAAACGGGTGGTGGCCTTTTTCGACTTTGTTCATAAACAAATACCGAAAGAAAATGGAGATGGGTTTTCCGGTCGAATCGATAAAGTTACTTTTATTACGAGTACCGAGGTGGTCGAGAAATTTTTCTGTTTATTGCGATGGTGTTTACTTGGACTACGGCAGTCAACAAACGGGTTTCGGTTGACTGCACTGACCGGGGTGTTTTTTTTATGTCAAAAATATATGTCGGAGAAGTGCGTAAAAAAGTTTGTTTATGAAGTAATCATCGTCGAATCTGGTGTGAAGATGAGGAAAACAGTGCGTTCTTTCTTGGTCGCGTGTGCTGAAGGTTGCTTGGTCAATGGCATTGGAAGTTTATGGTATTTGAATTAATAATAAAATATGTTTCGTTGGTTCATATGGATCATTGAACGGTTATTCATATCATTTCATGAATTTGGAAATATCCCTATTTGGGATGGGTGGGTTATGGTGAATCTCAAAAGAAGCCTTGTCTTGAAGCATAAAGACAGCCTGGGATAGGAGAAATTGTCCAGCATTTTTGCTGAGCAAGTTACACAAATTCGTAGGCGGCACAAGTCCTTGACCATTGCTTGAGAGTATTGCCACCTCCGTCCGTTACCATATTTACCGAGATGTGGGATTGATCTCGCCCTCTTAGATGGAAGTAGCATTATCTCCAACAATCGAAAACTGTCCTGGCCACGTCCTTACATCTGCTGGGGATGGGAAGGATTGTTATGTTGACACTTACTTAAGACACTTGCAGAGAACTCTACGACCTCTCCTCTCATAAGTGTCACAAGAGTTTGGAGGTTTGTTAGTGGGGATGGTAAAGCCACAGTATACGTTCGGTAAACGTTGCTGACAGCGGGGATATAAGAAGGCATAGAGAAAAAAAAAATGCAAGGAAGGGGATTGAACTCCCAACCTTTTACTCAGTAAGCAGAAACGGTTACCACTAAGCCACTGAGCCCGTCTTTGATAACGCCGTTTCAAAATGACCGAATATTAGTTCACACCATAACAAACAATTATGCAAAATTACATGCAAATCGGAGAAGGTCGCATCATATCGATCCGTCGTTTGGCGTGGAGCTGAACAAACGGAACAGTTTTGAAAATGATTTTCCACACTGACTGTGTTTTGCGCTCTCATGCTCAATTTATGTCCAACAGCAAAGTTGCATACATTCAGGCGCAGAGCGGTGGTGAGTAATTAAATGATTTTAACGGAACGATAACGGATATTTGTGTGAGTACACGGGTAAGTGTCTATTGTTTTCCTTTATCTACCCCAAGTGCACCAACCGATACGATGAAAGTCAAGCAATCTCAATACGACATAATAGTCGAAGAAACAGTATTTAAAGTGTAATGAGAAAAAAGGCGCTACAAAGAATCCCGTTAATACCTCATTTTGAATCAGAAAGCCATTAGAAACTTGATCTGGGTCTAGATCAATGATGCTAGCAAGCAGTTCTAAAATTTAAGCCCATTTGATACAACCTCCATACACACTAGTCCTTCTAAGTTTATATTGGGATTGCTAATCAGAGAAATCTTCTTCTTCATCGCATTTCAAACATATTGCTTATCGCATATTAGCTTATTGTGTGCTCTCAACTTAGCGTTCTAAATGCACTTCTACAGTTATTAATTGAGAGCTTTCGATGCCAATACCAATGAATGAATTTGTACATTGTGTGGCAAGCACAATGATACTCTATGCCCAGGGAAGTCGTCAAAATTTCCAACCCGAAAGATGTCCTTGACCAGACCGGGAATCAAACCCACCGCCTCCGGCTTGGTAATACCATGCCTTTACTGACCAGATATTTAGATTAGATATTGATTGTTTTAGAAGTCAATGACTTTAGTTTTGCAAAAAAATTAATATTAAAAAAAATCAAGAACTCCATGATTGTAAAAAAATGTTGGTCCCTCGACTCCGTTTCGCTCCAAAAGATATTGAGGCGACCAAATAAATACAATGGAAAAAAAAATACCAACTCGACATTGATCTAATCACAAACAGTAGTCTCCTTCTGGAACAACCTTCACAACCATCACCAAGCCTACTTGGTCTAATTTTTTTTCCCTGCACATTCAAAGCGTATTTCTTTCTTTTCACATTACTGACGTACATCCTTCAAAAAGCAGCATTCTCTTTCAACAGCAAAAAAACGAAACCAAGCATGGAAAATGAATTTCAATTTTGTGGCTCCTCTGATTTTGCTCATCGTTCCAAGCAAATCGACCCAAGTGAATGGCATAGAACCGGGTAGCAAATAGGATTCTCCCCCCTGGATAGTAAATTGGATAAATTACGACTGAGCTTATCATGCACGGTGGAGCAGAGTGGGAAAACTGTTGCGCTTTAAAACAGATCCTCCGAAAGCCGGTTTTTTCCACCCCTCTCATTCTCAACCGAACGACACGTGAATGGGATTTGTCCGAGGATATGTCAGAGTGAACACCTGCTGATGGGAAAGAGATTTACGTTTATTAGCTCTTTGATGGAAGGATTTTGTCGAAGTTGCTTGCGAAAAAAATCCTGGAATTGTGAACGGCGTGGAAAATTCTACCCGGAAAGATGATTTGTTATTCGAGACACTGACAGCAGCCAGGCAGGACGGCAGGACAGATGGATAGACAGATCCCTAACAAACGAGTCGGAAAAACGTGGTTGAGGGGGTTTAGGGGGAGGGGGGTGATAGAGAAACAGAAACAGATACGGTAGCCCATTTCGGACGTGAGTGACACCAGCTCGGCTGTGACAGGCATCCAGGAGGTTCAAGAATGTTCGTTCAATTTTCTTCCATGATGGCAGCGCGTACTTTAATCAGTTGAATGTATGCATTCTTCGTCCGAAAGAATTTGATCTTCGTTTAAGTAAAGGGAAATCAATCTGTCCAAAGTCACCACGATTCTAAACCGGACAGCCACAGAACAATCTCGAATGACAAAGCTTGATTCCAATCAGTAGAAATCGCTGTCGCCCCACCAACCCCAGCCAGCCGCCTTCGACCGGTTCCAATCTGCATTTCAATCCCACTTCTCAATTAACATTTAGATCAAAGTATACACAGTGAATGGGCTGCTGTTGCACTCAAAGCTAGCTAGGATCGAGCGATGCGATAGTAGGAACAATTGAGAAAAGGAAGAAGGACAAAGTAATCCGCTTCATCTCTCCGCCCCCGCCCCCCATCCAAGTTCTAGCGCCACGTTGGTCGAGATGCAAATTCATGGCATAATCATAAATGAAATTTATTATTCATTCCACTATATCAGTCGGTTGACTTGAGGGTAGCTGGACATACGGAACAGCTTTGAAAATGATTTTCCACGCTGTGACTGTGTTCTGTGCTCTCATGCTGAATTCATGTCCAACAGCAAAGGTTGCATACATTCAGGCGTAGAGCACCACCACCAGAGAGAGAGGTGGTGAGTAATTAATTGTTTTTAATTTTCAATAACGATAGCGGAAATTTATGTGAGCACACGGGAAAGCGAACACGGACGATTAGACCAACTCAAATTTGAGTTTCGTTCACTCAAATTCGCAAAAACCAAGGTTACGCATGGACTCGATTTTTTTTAAATTCGAGTATAAGCCTAGACTGAGTAAAATTTTCACCCATTTCCCTCATATTTGAGCAGATTTAGATTTACAATCACTTCTACTTAGTTGTATGAGAAATAAAAAAATAAAAAAAATTGCAGGTGCTCACCGCTGAGTAATTGCAGTTTTTATAAATTCTCACTACCTCTTAGCAGAAGTGAATCTCCCGTACCCATGTACATTTTTGCGATTTTGAGTGAACAACCGCTCAATCTTGAGTCAATCTCATCGGCCGTGTATAGAGTGTCCCTTTATCCTCCCGAAGGGCACCAACGGATCCAATGAAGGTCAAGCAATCTCAACTTTAGGTCCGTTTTTTTTTACGGCCAATGCATCCCGTCCGAACGGAACCCTGCGGAAAACTATAGCCCAAACATGAAACGTGTTCTTGCCGCTCGCTTTGTACATAGTGTGGCGTGGTGAAAACTTTCCAGCAGAACTAGGCACTATGAGAAGGTCGTCCGTGGAGAACTGGGCACAGTGCCCAGTCATCCGGTGGCCAGCCTGCAGTCAGTGGGGTGATAAATTAAATATGCGAATGTGTTTGCACTCTGTTTGGCACGGTCGATGACTACGGCGATGATGGCAAGGCGTGGCAAGCTGTTTTCCCCATGGGTGAGCTTTGACCTGTACGCTGCTGCTGCTGACTGAGTGGTTGTTTGAGGCAGAAGAATCGCTGGCTTTGCAGTTTATTTCTATGATGGTCTTGTGTTAATGCCTAATCAGAATTTATCCAACTTAATTCAAAATTTAAACGATTGAAGTGATTGTCAAAGGAAAATTGGGTTAGACGACTTTTCAGAAACAGACCCTCATATGTATACACACGAGCAGCCGCATAAACTCTCCCAACTTGCTATTTCGTGCATGGAG